TATAAAATTTTGTGAGCTTCTCACAGAGAAGTAGTGGTTGCAGGAAAACCAGCAGCTCGCAGTAAAACTAATCGTAGATAGCAGCTACGGTAAGAAAGACAGCGAAGTGCCTTCACCAAACTCGACTTCGCTGGCAGAAGAATTTGCTCTTTTCCCGTTTTTCTTCTTTCCAAGTGTTGGAAAACAGCAGCAGCATCGGCAATTCTTTGAAAAATTGTTTGCTGAGTGACAAGCAAATATGATTACAGCAGTTACTAGTGGCACTACTCAAGCCCCTTTTTATAACTCAATCCAGTTCTATTGTTTTTTTGTCCAGAAGAATGGAATGATTCCGATTAACGCTAGTGCGATAGCTTACCCAGCCTATAAAACCCAATTTGTACAATTTTGTAAGTTCGTGATGATAATATGTTCAGTCGCTTAGCGCTCTTGGGTGTTTCTGGACGCAACCCGAGCCAAAACAGGCGACTTCCCTGTGAAAATCGCCTTCTCGGCCAACCATCTTATTACCAATACGTTTTTTTTTGCTCATTACATTTGTCGGCATCTAATATCTTCTCTCGTCATATTTACAATGAATATTCACTCAACTTTTGCCGAGTTATGTTCGCCACGTAAGGCTTGACGTGGTTAGGTTGATGACCGACAATTTAGAGAACTTGGGGAACCTATGCGGTCTACTGGAAATGGCCTTTTTCACCCCAAGCTCTCGATCATAGCCGGTGTTCCTTGTTTTGTCGTTGTGGTTTTCTCTGGACCCTTGTTGTATAGCGTCGCTTGCTTTTCGTTTTTTTTTTGTTTATCCTGTCTAGGAAATGAGGTACTCCTGGCGATTTGGAGGGGCTACAGATTGTTTTCGCGGTCGCTACGCGCGTTCCTGAATAGCTTCCTTGAAGCCATTTTTATTCTAGCTCGTTTTACAATTGAAACCTGCGCGATGTAACAGTATCTGTTAACACTAACGGATTATCTTTTAGAGACACTTGTGTTTTGCTTTCTTTATGACTCAAGCAAATATTCCAAACGAAGCAAGCCATTCTGACGAAATCTGATGGAAGCGGGGGTGGTCAAAACCCCATGGCATTTCCATGTAAAGTCTATGTGCCTGCAGCATTTTTGCTGGATTTTTCAATTTCATATTATTCCCATGTTTGCGTATCTGTTTGCAGGAAGTCTCTTTATCACCTATGTGTTTGTCTGCATAGTGAGGAACGTACGTATAGTCTACGTTAAATAAAAGACATGCCGAATCTCATAGGTTATACAATTATGTGCTTTTTTCAATCCCTCAAACCCGTAATGGAATTACAAAACGATCGTCGACGTCATAATAATTAGCATTCTTCGCAAGCGGTGCGTTAGTTACTCCCTGGTTAATTTTCTGATTGGATAGCGCTGTCCTGTGTGTTCGCCTAAGATGTATGTTTTGTCCACACGAATAAATTTATACATAGGCAATAGTTACAAAAGCAAACACCAAATTATAAACAAGACTCAAGCAGCAAGTTCCATACACCGGGAGCGCTGATCACCATTGACAATCGAACTGGTAGATACGGCGCTCCGTCTTCAAATTCACACTTCTTCAAGACTCAAATGAAGTCACCAAACAACTCAATCAATTCCAAAAATACATATATATAAACTACAAGCATATATATATATATATATATATATATATATATATATATATATATATATATATACTTGTAGTTTACTGCCAGTTTATCTCGCTATCTAAGTCAACATAATATTCACTCTGATCATATGCGTAGGCAGTTATAAACTCGAACCGTCGTCATTTTCGTGTAGCCATACGTTAGCTTCTTCAGAGCGTCGCTTCCATCAGGTCGTTGCTGCATCGCTTACAGTATATCGTCTTATGCAGTGATTAGAGTTCTGTTCACACATCGTTTCAGTTTTAGGGTTTTAGTATGCAAGGGAATGCATCATTAAACGTTGCCGGTTCACACGTGTAGCCTTTACACCCCGACGTAAGCTGTAAGTCAGTGTTTTTTTCGACCAATTTACTCTGTAACTGATTCTCATTAACCGCCTCAGTTATTACTACAATATTCTAGGATTTCGATCGGCCAGAGCTGTCTCGCCTTCATTTACAAATATCTTGTCAGTCTTCTTCTGCGTTTCACATTCATTCTGTTTCTTCCGTTATCCCAAAGGTAAATCTGGCTGTAGAGTTGTTTTCTATTTCTTTTTTAATCTGTCGCCCCACATAGGTGTGTTTGTATTCTGTTCCATCTTTCTGGCTACCTCTTAGATTTTTCAATTTCTACACGCCTTCTCCTTTAGCTTTCATAGTATCGTTGAACACTTCTCGTGGATTCCACTTTGACAGCTAACAGAAGAGTTGATCTTAATCTCTAAACCTCGGTATTCTAAGAACTTTACTCTGCTTACATTTTCGAGAGTCGAACGGATTGACGTAAGACTTAGTGTTATAGGTCACTATGACGTTGTGACGTTTCGTCATCTTCATCACCGTCTACGCCGTTTGTGCATATTACCAGCTGTTCCGAACTACTGTCACCATCAGGGTGTCGCGGCGGGGCAGGCATTCGTCGTCTAACGCCCTTTCTTGACGCCGCTCTAGTTCCTCGTGGACCTTCAGCAACGCCGTCTAGACTGTCCTCGGCCTGATCATCGACATTCGCCTCTTGGCATTCTGCCGTACGCTTAACACCCCGCCGGCTCGCTCTCGTCCGCGGTGGACTCGCGATATCACCATCAACGTTTTTGTCGTCTTCCTCCAGAACAAGTTCATCATCCTGATCCATATCATCGTCGATATGATCTTCACCCTGACGGCCATTCACTCCTGCAGACCCTGTCGGCGACGAAGTGTCGCCGTTCGTTGGCGACTGCGGGCCGTGGCTGCCGGCGCGATTTTGTACTACCGGGCTACGCCTTTCCCTCTCGCCACTGCGTAAGCTACTGCTCTCGCACCCCGACGGTGAGCGAGGTGTCTTTTCGACCCGACCGGACTCACCAAACGTTTCGAGATTACCACTGCTGTTGTTGCTATTCCGGCTGTTCCCGTCATCGCTGCTGTTCCCATTGTGATTATTGTTATTATTGTTGCTGCTACTGTTCGTCGTCGTTGATCGAAGGCCGCCGCCAACTCCGGAGCCTATTCTATCCTTTCGGCCTTCGTGAGCATTTTGCTGCGATTCTGCAGCATCGTGGCCACTGATGCCTTGAGGCAATAGCGAGTTGTCATCTGAACCAAGGCCAGCCTGCAAGATAGAGCAACTGATTTTTTAATGTACCATCAAAGATACCAATCTAGTCTAAAGACTAAATGACCGTTCAAAGAAAATAACATCAATAAAAATTATCACTACAAACAGCTGATAACAGACGCTTTCACCCACAGAGCGAAACGCATGGTATTTTTTGTCAATCTTATCAAGCCACATGTAGTCTCTGCAGATAAATTGATCCGTGCGTAAAACGGCAGGTTTATTATCAGATGATGCACACTGGTCGTCTTTGTCCATGCAGAAAAAAAATTATTGTTTTCTTAAGTGATCGTACCCCATTATTTCTTGAGGAATGGTCTAACTGAAACTTACTAGAGGGGTTGAATATAAATGGCCTTCTCTACTACTACTGCCAGTTAAAATTTCACTGTCAGCGAAATGTGGAAATGTTAGCCGACGTTTGATGATGCCAAATATATAAACAACACTAGCACGAACCTTAACACTATAGAGCAGCGATTGCAATACTTAATACTACGATAACTATTAAGCGATAAAAATTTACCTTCGGACTACTTGGTGATTCAACATCTCCTGTATGGCTTCTCGCGGGACTTTTATGTCCTTTTATTGGCTCAGATGGCATTCCTTGTAAGCGCGCAATCGTTTCCTTAGCTTCCCGCAACTCTTGTTGCAGGAAATAAATTGTGCTTTGCATACCCTCAACCTGCCGGAACCAAAATTGAGATAAAGGTAGACGTTACGGGAAAACATTAAAAAAGTTAATCACGCAGGCTCAAAAAAATATTTACGTTCTAAAACCTGTATTGTCCGCAGCTTTCCGACAAAATCACCATAAATACGCATCAACTTTCTTTAAATTTAGTTATAAAATAACATTGGAGGTTATTGAGTATTGACCATAGACATTTTGTTTCTGTTTTGTAAGGATTGTACCTCTTCGTCCAACTCGAGAAGAAATTCGTCTTGGTCGTGTTGGCTGTTCTTCATTTCGAGCGCAAAGCTTCGCTGCAGAGCGAGGTCTCCTTCGAGCTTCGCTAACCGCCCCGAGGCGACCATTCTCCCCAGTTCTTCATTTTCTTGATAAAGTAACCGGCATTTTGCCATGAGCCGCTTCCCCGTGTTCGAATCAGGAGTGAACTTCCAAGCGGATAATTCATTTTGTGTTTCGTCTAGCTTTGCCTTTGTCTGGTCAAGTTCCTGACGCATCTTCTCGAACAGCATATTGACTGCAGGATCTAAAAGAGTTGCTCGAAGTTGGCCGCTGTTCTGTGGAATTTGTCTAGCTCGCAGCGATTCAACTTCAGATTGCAGTTCCTGTGTTACCGTCAAAACCAAGACAATCACAAGATATATAAACGTAAGTGATTACCGGTTGATAAAATGCTGCAGAACATTCTATATTTAATTCAACAATACTATTTAAATAAAAAGTAGGTATCGAAAGAAAGTCTACCTAGAAACTCGGTCATCTTCCCATTACTTCATGCAATGTTCAGGGCGACTTGACTCATCCATCTTCGCTTCTCACAACACTAAACAACAAATACTGGTGAAGTGCCCATCCTATGCGTTACCTGTAATTGTTGTTCCTTTATTGTAAGCTTCATCACGAGCTGGTTTTCCCGACGAGTCACTTCAAGTAGTTGATTCTTGATTCGTTGACGTTCTTCTGCAGCACTACTTGTTGCTGACGACGACTCTAAGTAACGAATATATTCCTCGCATTCAGCGTACCGCAATAAAAGGGTCTCTCGGCCAACTGTCTCCAATTCAGTTTTACTCAGGCGCGTCTAAAACAAACAGCAAAGGAAACAAATAAATGATCGAATAAGCAGCGAAAAAACCGCCTTTATTTTTTTAAGTAAAATTTTGCAACGAGCTTCCTGATGCCTTGTAACTTAACGGAGATTGGTTTAACTTACCTTTCGACATTGCAAATCACTATGTACAAATGATTAGGGTACTCAATTTCTTTAATCTTCAGCATTTTGTCTAACGTGCCACCGCATCCTACAAAACCCAGCCCCGCGTATAATAGTATCAGCTCCGAGTGCACTTTTCGCTCTGATTTGATAATAAATAATATTATAACTTACTGGTTTTGGTGGCGGAGGTGGTGGTGACTCGGTCCGGCCGACCATCTTGCCCGCGCTGACAATACGATGAAATTCAAAAAAACACAAGAAACTTTTAGTCAGTTTCCTTCCATAGTGCCTGCACCTACCGCCAATTAACATGTATTCATTTTGATTTGTTCGTGAAGTTGAATAAAAACGTGTTATTTCGTTATATTTAACAGAAAACATTATACACAAATATAGTTGATCACAATAGTATACACCGCTCGACGTTAGAAGCCGTAATATTCATATTCAAAGATTAGCCTAGGTCGGAAGACGAAGCTATGCTACCTAAAGGCTATCGTATTGAAACAGCTTGTAGACAGCATCGTTAACAAAATCATTTCACTTTTGCTTTCATATTCGACAGTTCATAAAAAAAAATGATGACACTTTTTTAGCGTCGCATTTTATACACAGTATTACTTATTGGAAAAATTATGCTTAACACCATCCTGTTTATATTACCTTACCTAAAAATGCAGCTATTATTAAGAGCACTTCTTTTGAATTAAACTAGCTTCCTCGTTTAAAACAGAATAGTTGTTTTATATTCATCAAGTTGTTGTATGCATGTGGCCCTATGTAGGCCCTAACGTATCAAAACTACTACATAGCACAAATTGAACCAAGTTGTGGACGATCATAATGACGAGCATATATTCGCGATTCATATATAAGATATCATAGCACTCCAGTGTCGTTTTGTAGAAGCGTACTGACAATATTTATTGAGTACATAGCGACTATAATAATATTGCAATATTCTGAAGAAAATAGCATGGTTTTATTCTATGCGAATGTAATGAATATTTCCTATAGATGCCACGATAAACACAATACATGTTTATTTTCAGTTCAGGACGAGAAATAAATTCGGCAAATCATTCATTCACGGTTACGTTCGATCTGATAGTGTAATAAAAGAACTAATTAGCCGTTCTTTTTAAATTTCGTCAATGAGTGATAAAAACTAATCAGATGCTGTTTACCAGCGTTTCTTGTGCGTTCACTTTTCGGTTGAAGTACTTAGGTTTATGATACCTCAACAAAGGCTTCGTTAAATATAGCGCAAGTTTTACATGCGCATACATAATATACTATTACAACCTAACTACGCATACTCAGCGAATATATAGCAGGGCTGATATACGTAGTAGACTCTTTGTACAAGACGCACAATTGAGAAACTCTCTGAAGGCCTCTGCTAAGAACGGTGTAATGCTCCTTAATTCATATTCAAATTTTTGTACGAATCTCTGTAATAAAGAACCGACAGATTGGCAACTTCGGTAATCAATAACAAGTTTACTAAATGCAAACAACCACCATTAACCTTTCGTAACCCTTCAATGTTGAAATTAATTTAACAGGGAATAATGGAAAAGTAAAGCATTGTAAATAGCGTCCCTTGCGATCGGCGAAAAAGCTAAATGATCGATATGCCGGAAGCGTGTTGCGATGCGATGTGGTACTCTCTGTACAGAATCACTAACCTTAAAACCCAACCAAAGCATATTATTTGATATATAATTTTCTCGCGAATGACAAAACATTTCAAACCATATGGATAAACTTTGGGTGTCTTGTACCATTCGAAAACGTCTTAAAGGAATGTGTTTTAAGCAATATTTAAACCAAAACAATTATGACCCGCCAGAACGACAGTCTAATCGAAAAACTATGGCACGAAAAGCCGTACTTTGCAGTGTGGATATTTTGCTGTGCACCAATCAGCCGATAGTTCGCACAGGACACAAGGAAACATTTGGTCGTTTTTGTCGCGGGTATCAACATCATATTCATCATTATAGCACTGAAACTACTGCCACCGTACACACTGAATGGCAAAGATTAAGTACGTCAAAGTTAATTAACGCTAAAAGCAGCAGGCGAACAATGTATCGGATTATTTTAGGCTAAAAGGAATAATGCTTTTAACATATGGCTAATGCGCTCCCTATTGATTTCATACGATCGAAATTTGTAATGTAGCACCAAACAGTTGGCTAAAAGTGTGTATCAGCGTCTATTTTTTTTTTTATTAACAGCTCACAATTGTAAAATCATGAATAGACAGATATTTTTATCTGTCTGTGTTATTGCAAGGTACACGACTGCACTAATGATGCTTCGAATGCTAACCACCGGAAACAAATTACCGAACGTCCAAAAAACGTTTATACGTGATGAAAATCGTGGTTTTATGTAAAGCTCCACTCAGTTATGGGAGCCAAACACAAGCGCTATGATTCAATTGACTGAAAGTATACAACATTTGCAAATATATCGTTGCACTCCCCGAGAGGTTGCTTGAAGCACAGCATTGAAATCTAATTTTCAACCGAATTTCTTGACGACACGTTAGATATTCATCAAGCTTGACCTTGAGCATGTTCGTTAGTAGATTAAGTATGCCCTTGGCTCTGCTCGATTATCAGATGCTTCTATTGAAAATCGAAACCACAGGTGACAGAAATCATTCGATCCAGTGAACGAAATATCGAAATAGGTTGGATTATAATGCATCATCTGGGTTGTAGCATACATAATACAACTGTGACGGCTGCTTCTAGCAATAAAAAAAAAATGGTAAAAAAAGTTTTTAGGCGTCACAAACACAGCTAATACCTGTTTCAACCTGTGACTATTTCCAACAACCAAGCACATCCATTGCCCCGGGTTATTCCATCTGCGAACCTCGAGCTTCTGTTTGGCTCGTCGAAAAATAAATGCTGGCCATGCCCGCATCGTCGTTACATAGACAGTTCTTGGCAACGTCCATGCGTGTACCGATAATCCAAATAACATGTTTACACAGACGGCTATGATCTTTCACTTATTTTGCGCAATTAATGCGCACGACAAGCAGCAATCTTTGGAGCTGACCGCAGTAACGAACCAGTCATCAGTTAAAAGTTGGTTTTCATTAACTGTAGGGAGACCTCTCAAAACACGTCCATAAATTCACGTATTAGCACAAATCGGCAAATAAACAATGCATACCACTACCACTTTGACTAGACGTATACCTAGGTGTCGTGCAGGTTGAACTAGCGTAAATCCAACGCAAAAGGTTCCAGAACTGTTGATATAATTCACTTTGACAAGTTGCTACCGTTACAAAAAGTGTTCAACAACATGCCTGAGAAGTTTGTTAACGAGTAGTTTACTAGATTTGGTGGCATGCCTAGTAGTTTGCACGTTAAAGTCATGTACATAAGTCTATTTTTTTTACGATAAAGTTCTCTTAGTTTCAAAACTTAGCCCATTATATGATGTATAGAGACAAATGTCTTGTTGCCATCAAATAGCTATGGTAACCGTTTCAAACACTTCAGCGTAGAACAGCCCCTACAAGAGCGAACAGGGTCTATCAGAATGGTAAGCAACATTTCATTTCTCTCGGGCGTTGTTCCCGGCACTCTACCGGCTAGCTGAGCGTCACGCTATCACGAGACTGCTGTCTTCGTACCTTCGTCCTATTGAGGCGTTAATCGCCCTTGCGTTGGCTAGTGATTTTTCCGTCTGCCGCAGCAAAACGGAATTGCCACGCACCTTTTCAACGCATTTAGTAGAGATTCAATAAGTATTAAAGTGTAAAGTTATAACACAACTGGCGGTTATATCATTTATGATTATATAAAACACGCCAGGTAATTTTACGCTTAATTAGAAACTATCTACGCGTTTTAGTCAACTCTAAATGGTGACAAATAAAACGCAATAAAGGCGGTGTGGAGCATTATTAATACACATTGTAAAGTAAAATTTATTTAACATTGAGCGAAGATAACTACGTAATGCTAATATCAATGAAGTCGTTTTCGTTTCGATTTTCAACTGATGAACATTCCTAATTGAATGCCCCACAAAGGTTGAGAGGCTCAGTTTCAGATGCAAAATTAACCTGAAATTCCGCTTGATTTCTTCGATTTCAACATATTACGAGTTAACATTATTACGAGTAGTTTACTAGATTTGGCAGTACGCTTAGTAGGATGCATGGCGAAGCCACACACACGTATCTTTGCTTTAAGATTTTCTTAGGATAGAACTAAAAGCCATGAAGGTTTTGGGTAAACTTGTTGCTGTTCCAACAATATTCTAAAGCTATTTTGCTTATGAAAGGCGTCAAGTTGCCCTGCAATCTGACATGCGTTACATGATAAGCACACACCACGAACTCCCAAATTCCTATAGAATTCCAAACTCTTATAAAAATCCAAAAAATAACTAAGACCCTTTTCATAATGGTTTTATAGGAAAAAAGGAAAACACGTCCCGAGGATACCTAAATGACAAATTTGCCTCTACATATGCTATAAACAACGTAGTCATGGACGACAAACTCAGCAAATTCATCTGCATAATAGGTACACGAATCCAAAGCAGCTTACTTTCAGCTCTCCAAGATTAATAGTTTCGTTCTTGTGTTTACTAAATAACTGCCTCTCAGTCAACTACATGATGACCTAACTAACTGATTATTTCAATACTCACACAAGGAATTAGGTAATTAGACTTTTCGAAGCACTAAGTAGACAATAATCAGTATTCTTCAAATCATTGCCAGGTTTTCTTTAGGATGGAAGAACGTAATCAAGCCAGCAAGTTGAAAAAATGGGGCTGCATAATGCTCGAAAGGTTTTCGATGCTTAGAAGGCTTATTCATTCGTCTTCGTATGGCACGTAATTAGCTTAATCGTGTAGACAGCATTGTCTTATAAAGTTTACTACCACTTACAAACTAGAAACTACCTGACTTGATTAATAAATCCACAAGTATTGCGTAGTGACTATTTCGGTCCATATACGTTGTTATTAGGAATTCAAACTAGAGACTTTATGGTTCCAGGTCAGTACTACTATTTCTACATCAGTCTGCAAGAAAATATGTGGTCAAAAACCCGTCTCCATCTGCATCGTTTGCCGAGACAGTCACGCGTATATTCTGCTATATGTGTATTGTTTATCCCTCTATGATAGCTATGTGCGCTATCATATCTATATTTTAAAGTCTTGTTTCGCATAAGGTTTCATTAAACTTTACAAAAAATGGCGAATATATATTTATTTGAAATCGAAGGAGGAGCGCTATATGGTGGACCGAAAATATTCAACCGCCATATTAGAATGTTATTATACTTCATAAAAATGCCGGTAATAAAATGGATTTCATCGAAGAAATACAGCTTTGAATATACGATAATCATCGTCATAAATTCATTCGTCTGTTTATAGAAGATATCTATATATTCGTGATTCATTGAACCTGAAAGGGCAGTCATATTCTTTCAATCGTACGAAGCGACAACTACCTACAACCTCACTTCGCGCGTGGCAGCATCAAAAAGCCCGTAATTTAAAAAAAGGTATTTCTAAATAGTGTTCCGTCCCAGATACTTGCCTAAGCTCTAAAGAAAAGATGATTACGAATAGAAAAGGTGCTTAATTGCTGCTATGACTAATGTTGAACCGAGCAAAAATGGCTGTTACTGTAGAGAACAAATTTCGGTTAGTTTTCGGACGTTTTTAAGTCAAATGAAAATTGTTGCTATCCTCCTATTTTAGCAACTAATTTGAATCGATATTGAGCTAATTGTGTGCACAGTTAGGACCATCGCGGTCAGCTGCAGTTTTGTTGACGTTGTTTCGGCGACCTGCTGGTGTGTTGTGTCATAGCATGTTTGCTATTGTTGTTGCTGTATATGTTGTTGCTATTGTAATCGTACAGTTACCGGAGTAGAGTAGTGGACTTGCTGCTGGCTGGTCCGTCCGCTGTAGTTTCAGCGGCCGAGGGCACAGTCAGAGTATATAGAGTTACATAAACGGTTACTGAGAGAGAGCGAGAGACGGGCTAAAAAAACCGGGCAGGCGGGCGAACAGGCAGGCAGGCAGGCGGGCGGTCTACACACCACTACGCGCGTCGCACTACATACGGAGTCGGGTGGTTAGATCGTTGGGATGGTTGAGGGCGTTTTTTATGACTATTACCCACTTCAACGCCGGCTCACCATAGCGTTCCACCGGCAGCTCCCCAACCTTTTTTGCCTGTACCAGTGAGTGTTCACAGCTGCTGCCGAGGCAGCTAAACCACTGCCATGGCTGGACGATGGCTATCTTAGCGTTTGTGTCTTTCTTTCAAAACCCGTTGTCATTCACTATATAGAATACCGTCATGGCTTGCCAACCAGCTGCAACAACCGTTTACCCATCGGCTATGCGAAGTCAACAGTTTCAATGCTGTTTGTGAGCAACCTGTGTCAACATCAATCGATCGTTCTTAATCTGGTCGTTTTTTGTTCATTGAGTGTATGATTATTGTTCAATTGTCATTATCATTAGTCATCTCAATGAACGTCAGGCTCCGTACGCGAAGAGTCAGTCGAGCATTGTAGTTTGACAGTATCAAACAGTAGCGGTACTTTGTAAGCATAGTAGACGAACAACAGTGACAGATTATAGTTCAGTGTTCGGAATAACATCTGCCGCTCCTCCCGGCCATGATCATACTCAACAACAACAACAAGTCAACGGAGTTGGTATTTTGTTTAGTACTCGCAGGTGCAGGTAACAACGTCAATTGGGTGTTCGTAGGACGAGAGGGAGCAACTGCAGCAGAACTAGTGGTAGTACAGGTAGTTCGGATTAGCACCGACGCGCGGCCAGACGTCCGTGACACCAGCTGCAACGCCGCGGCTAGTGTGCTTCGCTGCCGCATCGGGCTCCGTAACATCAACATCAATGGCAGTAGTAACAAGAACAGTAACTAACTCTCAACGTAACGTAACCCAGCCGACAACGCGTATCGTCGCTCTGGCCAACTGGCGTGGTCCGGTGGACGCCACGGAAGCTCTGGCCGGTAGCGGCAGGGACCCCTTTAGGCCTAGCACGAATACAGTAGAAGGGGCCGGTGACGATCCGACCCAGACACCACTAACGCGGGGCGCTCACCTACAATTGTGTCCAGCTTTCGCTGCGGACAACAAGCTATTGACGGCTAGTCCCCGTTGTTCGTCACCCGCTACACGTCGGTAGCGTCCTCGTTATAATCAGTCTGAAAAACGGTTTAATGTAACTTCGTTCATAGCTGTTTCGCTTTTCGCCTCTCTTTCTCTCCCGCGCTCGCCAGTCAAGTCACCTGAGGGGGGCTCCTGTTATCCTCGAGAATTCGGCGGAGTTCGCACTGCACACCAACGCAACACGAACGCAACGAAACACGACAGCCACACGATTCTCCGTCGCTTTCTCTGCTTTCCGCGGGGCTTCGCTTCGATCTACTTCAATACACCAGTAGCACAAGCATCACGACTACCACCACTTCGCTATAGATGAGACGTGATGATGGTAGTACGACGGGCTCGACGTCGCACCCACGAAACGAAACCCAGAACTACTTCAAGCAGCGTATAGAAGTAGTCCTACGAGTGGGACTCATCGAGCATAACATGCAGACGAAATGTAGACGGCCTTAGGTCAGGCGATAGGGGCAGCTGCAGCTAATACGGGAAGGCGCGGCATCGCCGGCGGCAGCGGCAGCACAAGCAGAGGCAACTATTCTACGCTGCTACACTGGTGGCGAAGAGCCGAATTCAACAGCCGCTGCAGCAGTGATTAGCGGTCACTGCGCCAGCGCCGCTGCAGGGCTCGAAACAAAACAAAGCGCATTAAATGCTGAACTCCAAAAACATAGCACACGTCGAGGACAACGGAGGCATGAACGCGTTGGTGAGTTGCAGCTACCGTGGACGGGCGACCGTTAATGATATTGTAAGCACAATCGTTCATCGTTTAAAGCTAATGTTTTCTACGGATGTGATGATAAACACAGTATCACAACGTTGGCAAGAACTTGCATTAGCTTGATAGTTGTTTACATCATACATTCACATCTTGCCGTTTGATTTCTGATGCTACGGCCAAAAACTTTGTTTGTGTTTGCTTGCTTGTTTTATTGTGAGCTGTTGTATAATCCTTTAATGAGCTGCTACCTAAACAAACCGTAAACCAAAAGAGTTTGACATACTTTGGCTCGTTTACAAGTTTTTATTCTAGTCAAACCAATTTACCTGAGAAATAAAACAGGAAAGGCACATTTCCGAGTTTATGTATTCTAGACGAAAATAGCAGAAACTGATTTCACTGGTAAAACATCTTAGGGAGAATACTTATCACAAATCCTGTGAAGAGTTTTGAACCTTCAGCCTTTTTTTAGGTTATGATTATCATTGAGGTCTGCGCGAGGAGCGCTACAGGAGACTGTCTAGTAGATCTACTGGAGGCACCGTACAAACCAGAATATTCGCGACGGAATACGCCATGTCCAGGGCTAATCAAGCTATAACCCATGATGTAATTCGTACGGTCCGAGAGTTTTAGACTTTTACCTATGGTTCCACATACAGAAGGAGTACCACCGTATATTCATCACTAGCCGGATAAAGACTAACTGATTGAATCCCTTCAAGAAACAATGCACGCAATCAATGTACCAAAAAGTAAAATCTCCTGACTTCTTGCTGTAAGATTATATAAATTATCGCATCAATTATTGATATTATTGCATTATCAATACTTATGTATTCTTGTTTTTAGCTTCGTTTGAATGTCAGGCCCATGTGAAATAAAAGCTAGAATGAATGAGTAATATAATTACCTACACGTTTCCCATATATATTCGAGCTAATTCGCACAGATTGTTCGCACTTTTTTTATATCTATTGTCGCTGTGATTTCAACATCACTTTAATAGTACATCTAATTACCTAAGCTGGAACAAAGCTCTTTCATGTCAATCTTTGACACTTTATTAATCACTTCTGCGTAATCGCAACGCGCTATAATATTTAGTTTTAGACGGGTCGTCATATTCCTCGGTGTATAACAACGCACCTTTGTTCCCAATTTTCATCCCAACAAGAAACGTATGATAATATCTACTGCGCGTATCGGTGCGTCCGATTTGCGAGCTGCATAGTGTTAACGAGTAAACAGTAATTGCAGTCAAATTCATTCACTTCGTTACACCTCGGTTGGCCCAACACCTTTCTAGATGGGTAGTATTAGAAGCAAAAGTTATGAGCTATATTCAGTAACTACTAAGTAATTTGCCGACGCAGTATTTCTAGTAAACGTGTATAAACTATATTCCCATACCTAATTATATATATGTAGAAAATATTTCCATATTCCGACTTTGCGTTTGTGGTGCGCTTTCGTTTAACACAAGAAATATTAATAACGTTCTCAACTTGGCCACCCCCTTGTCAAGCTAGACATTCGCCTATTTTCTAAAAGGCATAAGAGAGGACAAGATGCAGTTTTGCGTCGATGCTACATTTAGGTAGTAGCTCTGTGGAACTATTGCGCTTTCATAGGTCGGGCAGCGGTCAACGCAAGTCGACTTTGGAGTTATGGTATGTACACGAAATGGAGCTTATTTCGTATATGTATGTGTGTGTATTTCAAAGAATTTATGCTATTGACAAGGGTTGACTCAGTAGTGTACCACAACTCTATCCGACTCATACAGGTCATGTTAGTGGACTCACGATGACCATTTGCTTCTATATTTTTACCAATTCGGCTATTGTATGACCTCAGTCTCTAATATAAAGAACCAAAATTTCTGTTACATAGCAGGGGTCGTAGCGCATAACTGTATGGAAACGCATGCTGTGCTTTCTGAGGAAGCAACGGCAAATATTAGATAATCAACAGATTTTGACTAAGCTGCTTGCTCTCGAAAGATAAATTTATTCTCAAGTGCTGAAGTGTTTCATTTTATTTAATAATTAACTTCGAAAAAGCGCTCAGGATGAAATTTTGGCCTAAAAATGGGGAGTTGAATGGAACTTGAAGCCGGGCGGTTGCAGCATAAAAATTTAGCTTTACTACTTTTTTTATCAATGGTACTCTCAGATGACCTTGTCTAAGCAGTAGCTACATCTTACGCAAGTTATAAAAGGCACTATAAAATTCTAAAGTTACAAGAGATCGTACAATGTTCTCAAAGCGATTATATTCTTCTCACGAATATAAAATTTTCTAAAAGGCTGCGAACGTTACTCTATAGTGATAAGCTAAATACAGCAATCAATGTTTATTTCTGTACGATTAGTATCATTCGAGCTAATATGAGCTCGTGTTGCTTCTCCACATTTGTAAAAGTCGGTTAAAAGAAGAGTAATTGATCATTTCCTTATATATTTGACTCTTCTCTGTAAAAAAAAACGGTCATCGTTTGTCATGTAAGAAATTTATGCTCCACAAATGTGAAGTAGTCTGTAGTAACGGGCAGTTTCAGAAAGCACGCCTCAGATCGAGGCACTATACACAAATATCATTTACGGCTCATGATTGTTGGTAAGCTTCATTCTCCTATTAGATTCGTTCTGTTGTCACACCCGCGTCAAGTGCTCTCTCACCTGAAATCCATGGAATAAATCAAACTAGTTTTTTGTTCCATGTAACCCCCAACGATGCATAACGCACTCTAATGGTAATCTATAACTAATAAACAGAACGAGTAATATACAAAAGGAAAACCAAGTATAGTCTATAATGAGTAATGTGAGCTTATAAGAAAGCGCTATGCCCTAGATACAGCAGTGTAGAGGAGGATACAGGAGTAACAAATACAACCCAAAATAAATACTTTTTTGGCATGGCATTTGATTTAATTCCAACTTGCCATTCTTAAATGTGCCTTCACTATTCAACGAGACTTATTCTACTTAAAACGTTCTGCTTACTTTCGCACAGATCGTCAATGTATACTTCAGACGAGCAGAGAGCTCAGCAGGACACGCCTGATGCATCGTCGCCAACGAGTACGTGCGAAAGTTTTTCAGCTTGTCAATGTACGAGACAGCTCCCATAAGAGGACAGAGAATGATCTTCGTGTGGTCGCGGAAAAAGTTCAGCTGTAACGTGCCATTGGATAGAAAAAGGACAATCGCCGACTGAGTTCGGAACCAAACACGCAGGTAAGGAACACGCGCCACGTCGACACAAGCTGGAACCGGGACATCCGCACCGGCTGTCATCAAGTGCTGTTGCATATATTGCCTGTAACGATGAGCATATCAATAAAATCAATGAGTCACGATAATTTATTGCAATGATGTGATTTTTTCATATTGAATTATTTGTGTGATGTCGTGAAAGCGTGCGTGATAGTGGCATTGCTATTGTTAGCTGACTATGTAATCACATTAGCAGTTATGTAACTGAAAGTTAAGCTAGATGATAGGTGGCAGCCTGCAAAGAACAAACCTGAAGTATTTAAGGAGTACGACTTTCTTCTCTAAGTCCTTTGGGTACGCGTCGATGGTGTGATAACTTTCGCGATTCTGGTGATCGATAAAATGGACCTGCTTGTCGCCGAGAAGTACCATACGTGAGTGGTCATTGAAGAGGACGGCAAGGGAATTGTCACAGAGTTGATAGCCGAGGCCGTACTTGTCCGTATAGTCGACCCATTTTGAAACCCAGTAGACGGGCATCGCCGCGGGATCAGCCGCGTTGTCTTGCTCAAGGGGTAACAGTTCTGTCTCAACGAAGCCGCTTTTAAGAAGAGCTCCCAACTGTTCTTCGAGCGAGTTGATGTGTTTCAGAGCGACGTCTTTATCTTCGACGCACTCCCGAGACCCGCTGCCTCCATTGGCGATTGGCGGCAGATTGCCGGCGTTGAATTCACGCAACGGTCGACGTGCCGTGCTAGGATTGAGTCGAGGTTCGGTCGTCAGAATCGATTCAGGTAGAGCGGCCGGCAGAGCGCTTTCTGTGAAGATGCCGTGACTCAATGCAGCGACGGCCGTCGGACGTTTCTTTGGGTTTTTCTGCAGCATTTCCTCGATCATAGCCTTAGCAAGCTAAATATATTTTGATATAATTTGATTAGGTATAAAATAGCTTTGTCTTCTCAAGATCATCTATATCCAGCCGTTATGAATGGTATGTGTTTGCTCTTTATTGTTACCACTACCGTATACTCGATACTAGCTGTCAGCCCGGTCAGTTACTTCACAGGTTAAAAGACGCCGGCTATTATTTATCGATTGTCGACCTAAATCGACACTCTCTGAACTTGGTGGATCCCAGATCTAATATACCCATCTAATTATTATACGCACATCCCATAAAACATACGTATCTTGGATTATGTGCATTATTCCAAAGATCTTTATTATATTATACATAACTTACACTACAAAAAAGTCCTGATATAGCTTTCTTAATCATCATCAATTTTCCTTATTTCCCTACCATTGTCCGTAGCAGCCGCGGTTTTCAGTCTTGCTAAAACTTACTTTTTTATCTGGACGCATACTATAATCAACCTAAATTTATTATATAAAAACCAAGTTCGTTCAGCAAACAGAAATTCTAATTTGACATACCGGTGGAACTCGGACAGGGTCGATGCAGTATTCAACCTTTTGAATTTTCGCATACGTTTGTCGAAGATGTGGAGTTTCAAACGGAGGCTTGCCGACCAGAAGTGTGTACAGGATGCAGCCACACGACCAGATATCGACCTGGAATACAATGGACATAAAAATGTTAATACCAGTAACTGCTCGTCGTGTATCTTGACAAACGATTTACCCATGATAAGACGCGTAATGTGGTTAAACGATAAATATCATTGATTACCTCGAAAGAGTGGCCGACTTTTTCGAGGATTTCTGGAGCGATATAGTTCGGTGTACCGCACAATGTCCGTCTTCTGTCATGATCGCCATCAATCTCTGTCGCCAAACCGAAATCGCCAATCCGCAACTGAATGTCCTAGAGAACGAAAACAAGCCGAGAAGCGAAACGAACGTCTGATCATTATAATGTAACTCCTTTTATGTAATTAAAGTGTTTCATACAAATAATGAATCTAGTTTCCGTAAATTAAATGATGCAAAACATTTTATCAAATACTACTCACGAAAGAAAATGAAAAATCTGAAAAGAGACTATAATGTAATTTATGAAGTTACATATGCCGTACAAGAGTGTGCTTTGATATTGCATGAGTTAACGTATCGGTTTCTCGATACACTTACCCCAGTGAGGAAGAGATTTCCGAGCTTTAGATCCCTGTGAATAATATTGATATTGTGCAGATAAGATACGCCTTCCAATAGCTGATGCATGAAATATCGCGTTTCATGGTAGGTAAGCTGCAATACAGTACCGCGGATAATAACGAGAAAAATTAGAACAGAACATTTAAACGCCGATATACATTATGATGAGGCGTTGGTGTCTCGTACATGAAATCGCGCATCAAACCCCAGTCAGGTAAAGCATATGGCTCTATTGTTACAATATAAAGAAATCTGCACCTTTTCTTGCGACTTAGTCAAAAGCTAATTAGTATTTGAATTTGCCACTTACCCGGCTTCGCCTCTTAAGCACTTCCATCAGCGATCGCCGTTTGCATAGCTCCAAAAGAACGTAAACGTTTTCAGAGTCCTCGAAGTGCGAATAGAATCTACACCAAAAGAGAAAGCGGCCAAAAACACAATTTAGAGCACACGAGTTGGTTTTACTACAGATAAGTCACAAGGGCCCAAAGCATAGACATGTCGGTAAGCATCCAAATAAATTTGCGGTATGTATTATTAGCTAACCCCTATTCTATAACACATACTTCACAATGAATTTGTGTGAAAGTTTCCGATGAATACGTATCTCCTGTAGCATCTTTTCCTTTTGATGTGGCTTTGTCAGCATACTTTTGTGAACCACCTAAAATAAATTATATTATAACAAAGGCTATTATTTTGCAAAGAAACTTGAATTTGATAAATGGTTAATTGATATGAATTTAGCATACGTTTGGAAAAATCGGTACTGTAGAGTACTTGCCCGGTTAGTACCACTTTTTTTAATAGAACCTACTCACTCATAATATCTGACACATCGATTTTCACCCACTTCGCATGGATGTCGCATATACTATAACATACTTCGCGTAGCCTCTTTTAGGGCTACACAAGTGAATTTGTACCAGAAAATGATAATTAACTCAAATAAAACGACTGTCTAAAATGGGTACTTATATTCAAACTCTCCGTAGACATCACGCTACTATAGAGTTTAGTATATCATCACAAGAATATGTCTAAAAACTACTGTTTGCCATGTATATGGACTGGAAAATTCTCCTGCTGTGGAGTATAAGGAATGGAAAGAGCCGAAGATACTTACTTTACAGGCTGAAATTCTGTTACTCTCCAGATTGCGGACTTCCCAGCACTGTGCAAATCCTCCCTAGAATACCAACAAACAAGCATACATTTATAATTAGCTATTTTGACTCAGTCGTTCATATAATAATAGAAATAACCCCCAGGTAATCACTAAACCTATTCTACCAGTTTGGTGCGCAAACAGAACCAGTTATGAAATTCCTCAATACGTTAAATGATAAGTAAATGATTCAACCATATTTTCCCTATTAGTACTATTATAATATAGGAAACTATATATATAATATAGGAAAAATCGAGAGAAACTGAGCCATGTGCACCTAATGTAAGATGACAGCAAATACATTCGTGATATCTTAAGCCACCGACAATATCGTATTGCCCTATTGGATATTAGGTGGCTATAGGTGATAAGCACTTTAGTAGCCACTACGTATATTCACAGGATACATTCGACTCCCTGCTGAACTTCCATAAACTTAACTCTGTTGTGCATAGCATGTCATTAAGATGCGCGATAGGATTAATCAGACGTATATTGTTATGACCGACTGTATGTTATAGTTTGCTAAGCAAGGTTGCATGCCTCACCATACTTCTTAAACGATCGTGATCTTGAAAAATGCTGTGCGAAATTTTTCTTAAGATGGATCAATTTTCCAGATATCCAATAGAATTGCAACCTATGACTTTTCTTGAAATTCTCACGCAAGAGAGCTTAAACGTTGTGCTACTTCAAAGATAGGTAAAAATCGCCCCCCTGCGTATTGTGCCAAAATGAACGATATGGAAGTAGCAACAATTTTAATTGTGCAATATTTCTAAGACCCAGTTTATCACTTAGTCCATCTGCACCTAGATTTTTCTCAATGGAGAAAAAATCATACACTAAAATGATGAAATTTTCAGACCGTGTTAAGAAGTGTATAATCAAGTGCAAAAATATTGGGTGTAGGTGGTCAGGTGCTCCACCAGCAACTTGTGTTTCCGGCAACAGTGGTCCCCAGGACTAGGCCATGAAAAGACAAAACTTCTGTTATGTTTAGTAAAAAAAAACGCAGTGTATTCGATTCGCTTTTTAGAAAAAGAAAAAATACATACGTACAACCAAAGTGTGATCGATCCAATCGTTGTTGAATCGCTACGTAATGTATATAATCTCTATCACCTCCTAAATGACCATGATCTTGTAAAATGTCGTACAAAGTATTATGAAAATGCATAATTTTTTAGATCTCCTGTAGAATTACTATCTACAATACATCCTGGAATCTTCGCATATGAAAGCGTACACGTAGCGAGACTTCAACAGTGGATAGAAATCGGGTCATAACGGAATTGAACATCATAGGAAAGGCAACAATTAAAATAAATATTTAAATTTTTTTATGCTAATTTTCTTTTTACCTATAAGACATGGTTTATCAACTCATATGTTTGCATATAGATTCTTCACAATGGGGCAAAATCACACATTAGAAATAAACATCTCCAAATCGTGACGGGGAACGTGTAATCAAATGAAAACCGTTAAGATCCTCGTAGCTGCTCTGTGGCCAGTCACCATACAAGCGATAGTAGCGCCCCAAGACCAAGCTGCAGAGCCGTCAATCTATTCTCCGTTTCAAATTTTTCGCAAAAAAGAAAGTACCGCACATTCAATTTGCGTTTTAGAAATAACGAAAAAAACGCACCCGATAGATTCCATTCTTGCTGAATCACTATATCATGCGCAAGATATCCATTTAAATTTTTCGTTTGTGCATTGTGGAACAATAGACGCCAGCAGGAGCGACACTTGCGAACAAACTTAAAGAGAACTTGTAAATGGTTTTGCTTGTTTGGAGTGACCTACACATAATACATTCACTAAAATATAAGTAGATCGTTGTAATCACATGGCGATGGCTGTGAGTTTCGGAGGGACCTTTAACAATACTTGGCACCCAACGCATATCCTCAACTGAAGTTCGTGTGGGATGCTGTTCATCTCAACGGAGTAGAATGCGGTGCGAATCGTGAAAAGCATACCTTTCCAAGGAAACGGCCAAGCTTATATTTTTCGGTACCATTCTGAAGAACTGCATCCGCTGGAAATGAAGGGCAAGTCTTTTTGGAAGTTTGCTTCGGCTCCATCTGAAACTGCCGGAAACTGACTTTTTCTTACAAGAATTCCTCGACCTCCCGCTTCGGATTTCTACCAGAGAATGCTTCTACCGGCCGTAATCCCGCGCCAAGGTAGACAATTTCAAAATTTAAGATGGCGACCTTCACGCATGCGCTGTCGTCGCATACAGCAGACGAGATTGCAGAATACTAGAGCGCCGCGAAATTCAAATCAGACAGATCAACTAGTAAATCCATAAAGGCTAAAAAAGACTGATGTACATTTAAATTGCTGAATTCATTGTGAATAGGTATATGATCCTTGGGTCAGTTTAAATAGCTGAAATCAACAGTAACGGCCTGAAGAGAAAGGTACCTGACACTCGTAAAGAATAGATACAGAACACCATGTAATGGTTTTTCACACATTTTACGCGTTCCGTCCAATACCAAAGTATTTCAAGCTGGTTCTTCACGCTGATTTTATTTCTCAGTTACTTATCACTTATAAAACATGATTCGGCGTAGTCTATGAGGGCCTTGCTCCAGAATCTCTCAACGAGGCCAGATTGCTTCGTAAAACAATTCACCTATAGCTTTAGTAATCGGAAGAGCCAGTGTGGAGTTCCGACGAAAAAGCTGCGGGAGTTCCAAAATAACTATTTACAGGAACACTGTTGTGTTACACGACTGCGAAATCCTGCGGAAAATATTACGCGTTAACATAGAGATTCATTTTGAAAAGTGGATTCGTACTAATTGAAAGTAAACGAACAGCCACATGTAGTGGATTCTGTTTTCTTACGTTCTCTCGATATTCTCTAGGCGAAATTCCAAGAGGTAGCATGAAAATACATGAAAAATTAAGGGAAGACGTGTACTGTTTTTTGACTTTCCCCCATATAAGCTCCCATATAAGCTGTATAGGAGAGATTTGTGTTGAATAAGCAATCGTTCAAAAAGTAAAGGTTACGTAGTCGACTGCTGTAGCTCTTCCGTTTTGTGGTGGCATGATAGATCGACAACACTCGGCTGCTACATGTCGAACGTGAGCTCAGGTGTGGATCCTTCAGGGCTGCTGGAGGCAGCCAAAACACTCTCAAGACCCGCTGAGGAATTTGTCAATCATCAGGATGTCGAACTTCAATGGGCAATTAAGGTGCGCATGCGAAATAAATGCTGTGCAGTATAGGACGTTTCTGCGCTAGGCCATTAGGTTTAGCGTATTTTTTTTTTCTTTTACGGGAGACGCTGTACAAGCGTGCGTGTACATCCGCAGTAAGGCCATAAAAAAAAGAACGAGGAATAATGTTTTAACCATTGCTATGCGGACAATTTTTCCTGGGAAGTATCAAATAGAAGTCTGACTTATCTAAGCAAAAGTAACATTTTTGTTTCTTATTAGTAGGTTAATATACATTAGGAAAACAAATGATTACATTTTAGGTGTAAAATATGCGGGTTATGGGTATAGCATATCAATCGGTTGAACATGCAGAAGGCAGAACCATTAAACATTTGTCTCGAAATAGTAAATTATAGGTATTTGCCTAATAAGCTTTAATTTTAAGAGGAGATATTTAAAGTGTTGCGCATAAAAGGTATGTCTTATTCTGGTTAGATTGTGAGCTCTTCAAAATCATGAAACATTTCATTATATATAGTCATAAATTTTCATTTCATGTATGGCGTCAAATAGCTGACGCGTGCGGTCATGATAGCAATCCGTGACGAATAGTCAGAATACGAATAGTTGAAATCCACCGTTAAGCGTGTTGCTAATCGTAGTAAGTACACTAATAAGTAAATAATACCTAACAAATAATTGTTGTCTGTTGTTGTATTGAATACTGTAGGCTTCTGAGCACATGGAAATTCATTTCAGTTTGTTAAAAGCTGTCGATCCAAAGTTTCTCAAACTGACTCCTGTTGATCAGCAGCTGCTGGAAGATTTCAACGTAACATTTGGCAAGCAGGTATTGAAGCATTAAAAAGTGTTTTTAATTTTAAATATCATTAAAGGAATAAGCCACTAAAGCAAGCCAGGCAGTATTGTTGTCGTAAGATATTAGATATCTCAACAGTATAGAATACTACTTTTACTAGTACGATTACTGTAATAAGAACTAGATAAACTTTTTTAAACAAATATATTCGTAACATCATGATGTGGTTTAATCTCGGGCAAATTTGAGCCGTACGGATATTAAACAGGGCGACTCAGGTGCCTCTTCCATAATCTTCTTCCACCGATTGTTTCTTCGCAGGTTAATCTCGCAAAAATCGATGAAATAGCTCTAAAGAGCGAGGAATCGAAGGCACTTTGGCGCGACTTTTGCAACCGGTACCAAGAACTTGTGGAGGACTTCAATTTTGCCACGATCCTTCGCCTTGATTCATCTGAAGATTACAGTCAGGAAAACACAACGTTAGTGCCGCGTGTTCAGTTTTTGGCCATCGAAATAGCAAGAAATCGTTTTGGTCTCAACGACGATATTCGCAGGAAATTTGGATCAATTTCGGCAACGGAAACGCAGTCATAGGAAGTTCTAAACTAGCATTGGCCCGCTAAAAAGTTTTGGAGTATATTTAAGATTTCCGTGTTTTGTGCTATTACAACAACGTAATAACTATATATAGTGGATAGTTAGTAAACAAGTGAAGGGCATATGTACACTGTGTAAAAGCAACGATATACACCAATCACATATTCAGTTCGCCATGGATTTACGAATGGCCGTCCAGACTTACGTGGACGAGCTCTGTGCCGAACTCGGTTTGTGTCCAGTGCCTCAGGCTCGCCTCATACAAAACTCGTCATCAAAACGTAGTTGTGGCGATTTCAACATTTTTATCAGGCAGCCATCATTTGACTGCTTACGGCCGCATATGTTCCGATTAGTTAAGGAGCTGCCAAGAGTTTCTGAAAGTTGGGCACTACCCATAGAACGGGTTGGCTATAGTGAGAACTCTGCCTACCTTGAATTGTTCCTTAAGAGAGTACCAGCCTTCCAACGGCTGTTCCAAGCGATTGGCTCATTTCGGGATGATGCCGATATTGTATCATCGTCGCGAACGCCAAATTCCTGTTTGCCATCAAAGAAATTAAAAGATTTCGATAGTGTCGCAGCCGGCCGCAACAGCTGTACTAGTAACAGCAATAATATCGATAAGAATCAACGCCTCCTGGTCATCGTGCACGCTCCGGATCAGCCACCTTTCGATCACCGGCGCTCCGAGATGCTCGCACTATATATGCGCACACAGTACGAGGCTTGTGGATTCCAGGTCCATGAGGTATATCTAACATTCAATGATTTCGCTACGTTGCAGCAATGAGCGCTATCGTGAAAACAGTCCATGCTATATAACGCATAACTATCTTGGATTACCGTATGTCTTGATTCAAGCTTCAAGTGAACATGTTGGGAACAGAATGAATATTACCTCAAAAATTATAATTTGTGTACTGGCCTTTTGTACGATGTACTTTGCACTATGTACTTAGCCATGCTTGACGGCTTGTTTTATGCGTCACTTCTAATAGGGACAGGTGTATTAATTGCACTCCAACAATTAATTGCAACTAAACGATCGCAATCGTGACTTTTTGCTTAACATTTCAGGTGAAAGATATTTATTTGTTTGATGAAGATTCCCCTCTTTCTAAAAAGGATTACGAAAATAGTGAATACTTTGATGCAGCTAAACAAGCGTTTGATCTTCGCAGATATTTGGAAGACAGGTTAGTCGATTGGATTATCTGCATTCGTCTTCGAATAGAGTGTTAGAGAGACATGATTCGAGGGTGGAGATACAAAAGCAAGTTATTTCAAAGTATATATATATGGCGATTGCCATTTGTATGATCAACTGATAAATCGGAGATCCTACGGGCGACTAAAGAACAGCAATTATATGCTCGAAACACACTCGTGTTCAATAATATTACATTCTGTGCTCTATAGGTGGTCGTAACTAATAAAATTTCTATTCCTGTTATCCTCTTGGCTCTGCCTTTTTTTTTGTTATCAGTTTTGCAAAGGGTTAGTCAACGATTGAATGAGATGAATATGTGCTAGTTCCTTTTTCTACTACCATTTTTTAGCAAAAGGTAGTAATATTTCTGGAAAAGTGCTCACCCCATTCAAATAACATTGCTCTGTGAAATAGGTCTTTAGAGACGGAATTGGACGCTAATCTAGGGGCGGTCTACCTTAATAGCCCAGCAGTGAGTTTGGCAAGGGCTCTTGCGAGCGCTGCGCGTGCGTGCATTCAAGCGACAACTACCAATCTCGACGATGTGTTACTTTGTCACGTTGCCCCTCAGAACAAAGCCTACGTCCAACAACAAGCAGGTGTTCTGCTTGAGGTAAGTTTTGTCTTCTATATACCCACATATTTATTTCAGTAATGTAATTTCCGACATACTAAAAAATATGTGTAGTGAATTCCTCTAAAACTAAAATTTCACTTTGGTCGTGTAGCAAGCCTCGCTGCCATAACGCGGTTTGTCATAAAATGCGGCAAATCGACATAAGTTATATCGGCCCGTAGAACTCACACACTGATGTATGATTCTTATTTTTTTCAACAGATACTAGAGTGCCTAAAGCAACGAGAAGATCAGCCCGCAAGGCAAGCCTTTGTAATACATGGTGGCACCGACGCGCGACAGAATTCGGTTGATGACTACTTGCAGCAAATTTATGAGTACGTTTTTATTTCTTTTGTCTCGTATTTCTTATCCGTTCTATTTGAGTTATATTTACCTAAAAACTCTAAGCAACTTAGCCTCTATTTTTTCGACTAGACGAGACCGTGGCTTAAAAAATTTTGTAATATGTAGTTGTTCGTTAGGTGAAGTTTTTGTTTTTTTCTGGGGTTTTAACCTATTGCAAAAACGTTCAGCTATGTGTCGAACAGTCTTCGTCATCGACGACTTCGAGCCGATGAGGGATCTCCTCTGTGCTCGATGGTCGTACGGGTCTTAGCTGACACGAAGATTACGTTTGAGCTTCTTGCCGCTCGTCAAATGGCCCGTCTAAAGATCTCACCCCTTTCGTCTAAGGTATGCATTTGAAATATAACCATTAGTCTTTTGCAACTTTTGTCAAATCTTTGTTTTACATTATACGATAGCCGCAAGGCTGAAGTTCCATGAAGACTACAGAACGAATTACCTAGGCGTGATTTCGCATAAATCAAATGCAATCATCTAGGGGTTCAGGCGCGTTTAATTGTCTACTGTACGTTTTGTTTAACTACGCAGGACGACACATTAGAAGGCGGAGGCGGTGGGGGCGGAGTAGCATCGTTTAATGGAAAAGGTGGAATATTTGTGCAGTACACCTGTGCACGTTTGGCCGTTCTATTGTCTAATTACGATTGCGCAGTTGCCGACGGAAGGTAATAAATCAATTAGAATCAAAGTACTAATAATCAATAACTAATAAAAGTAATATGGTCGAGGTTAATCACCATTTATTTTTAGGTAATAAGCAGCTCAAGTCTCTAGTTAACACTCCAGAGAAAAATTAACAGCGAGTTTTCTATGACATCCTTTAGTTCCAAGATGGGTTTGGCTTGCAATTATCAACTGAATTTGATTTTACTAACTTTGAACAACCAAAGGTTGGTCTTACTAATAGGTAGCTTCAGATATTCCTTAAAAGCTTGCTAGTGTGTGTTTTCTTCTTTAAAAAAAAAACTCTAAAGTAGTTTATTGTACGCACAGCAGGCCACCATCAGATAACCTGTCTACTGTTGGTCGGTGAATATGTGGCTCGACTCTGACAAAAACAACTTAATCCCGCCAAGACGACTACCTACTAGTTCTTAATTCCTGTTTTGTACGCCATTTCAACAATTAGATTTTGTGGTTAATAGCGCTACAGGTATTTTCTCTGTTAAGAACAACTGCTTTTTAGTATGATTACAATTATAAACTCTGCCGTGTCATACACAACCTATTCTTGTCGACCTGAAATATTGACCCATTTTGTGTCTCATGTTCGCGACTTATTAGGTACCCGACGTGCCAACCTTGGAGCGAACTACATGCCGAAGACATCGACCTCAGCGCGTTGAGTTTAGATTTCGACTGGCTTTTGTGGCGAGTGATGTTCAGGTAAAACAATATGGTACATTATAGTGAAATGGCGTCTCTATATAATACGATGCGCTTACAATTAAATGGGACTGGAAATATACGTACATATTCAGAAAAAATGATCTTTTTGATAGATATCAGACTTTGTCAAAGGAATGAGTATCACCCCGATCTAAAACTAGAAAGGTGTTCGACGGATTCGAATAATTAATCAAAAGCGATATACATATATATTGTTAAAAATTTTTCATTGTTGGCTTCGACGTTGATGCGGTAGGTGTCAAACTGCGCTGGAACGGGGGTCTACACTGCCCTGTTTTCTTTCAAATGAGGGCGGCACAGGTGAGAGACGTGTCTTCAAGTTTGACCTATGCGCCCACAGTGTATGTGAAGCCTTGGCTGCCGCATGTGTACAGTTTTCGACATACTATTCTAAGGTTTGTGTTGGTATTAACTCATGTGTATGATATCAAATTTGTAGATTAAAATGTTAATATATTTAATATATCTAATAATGACACCATCAGATGTTATTTTTAAATATCTTTCTATGAGTGGCATTTCGAAAAGTTAGTGTGATTACTGCTGACGGACCTTACTATTTGGTTTCCAGGTGAGGGTGCTCGTTGAAGCTCAGCCCCATTTAATAGAATCTCTTAAAGCTCGCATTTTTCTTCTGGTATCGTTGCGCTCGTTGCTGCATAGAGGATTGCAAATGTTAGGACTTCAACCAGTACAAAGAATGTGACTGGTTCAGTACATCAACGATAACACGGCCGCCCCACTGTCAGCGACACGCTGAAATGACAGAATCTGATAAAGCAGAAAGCTAGAGCTTAAAAGGATTTCCAGACGAACGATTTGACATTAAGCGACCTACAAGCACCGCCATTCTTCTATGTAAAATGACTATCGCTAATACAAATGAAATAGATAAGAAATGAAATCAATATTATGGCGCGGATTTTTTTGCCATCTGTGCTGCTTTAAGACGGGCTAATGATCACAAAGAGGTGAATAAATTTAGGAAAAAAGCATGGATATTTTACTTGATTACTTCCATGTTATGTAACTAAATATGGCCTAAAACTGTAGAAGTAGGTTTACAGCAAATATATATTTTTACATAGGTATTTAATTTTATTGGCTGTGTTAGATCTTTTTCGTTGGCCATCACAAACTTCCGGTCGTTACTTATATAGTGAACTTGTTAATTACGAAGCTAATACTATTCGTGTTTAGCGGTATTTAGTACAAAAGATATTATTTTAGAGCTAGTTTTTCTACCCATGCTGATTTTTATATTGAAAGCGTCTACGTTCAAGTTAGCGTTTTTTTGATTTGTTTACTCTTACTATCGACCGTGAATCCCATAATAATGTCAGCGGATAGCTATTAGAAAGTTTACATTGTACTGAAATGGACTGGACTGTCCGATAGATCCGACTAACAGTTGACAATATAAATAAATACTAGGCCCTAAGTGCGTACAAATACTTTTTAATTTTGGTGTAACCCTAATAGCATTCAAAGGTTATTTTTATTGGTAATGTGCCTATGGGCTCAGCTATAAAAGATTATCTCGATCCTGTTTTTACTTCACCGTTCACTATCTATACTAAAACAACTATATATGAATTGTAAATCTTTTCAAGTATGATTCGTATACTTGTTATTATGGCTGTTTCTCTACTGAAGCCCAATCCGACACGGTCTGATCCAGGCCACTGAAGTAAACGATCACCTCTTGTCACCAATCGCTTTCTACTGCTCTGTTTGACTTTCTGTAAACGAAACTCTATGCGTACATATATGTAAATGCCTCCTGAAGCCATGCAGAAACGAAATCTTGGATGTTGCCCTTCGACAGCACTAAACCAGTCCAATGTTTTCATCTCAGACGATTATGTGAGATCGGTTCCTTGCCGTCGAACCGTTTGCACTGTTTGTTCTTTTCGACTTACGCGCATCTAGTGCAATGTGCAGTACAGAGAGTTAAACAGTCGCGTTTTTCGTTTGAGCTGTTTGATAAACTGGAGATTACCTCAAATCAGCTGTAACATTTTTTGACTCAAAAATAGGTCTGCGACTGTTTTGGGTGGTATAACCATTTATAGTAATTACCAGGTAATCATTATTTCCACAGCAAACTAAGCGCAAATAATCAAGTGCTCATATCTGTGTTATATTGACAAGTCAAACGTTCAATATTCTCATTCATTTTAGGTACTACGTGTTTTTAAGTAAATTGGCCATGTACGCGTGGTATGGTGCAGCCAATAGTGTTTTTTATCAGATTCGAGCATGACAATTTATTCTGACTGGACGTCTGAAATTACCACCTGTTCTTGTTTTCCCTGACATTTCAAGTAATAAAAGTGACAAAGTTAACTTATCAATATATTTAATTCTGGTTCTCATGTGAAGATCCAATTCACTAAAAGTATGCATATGTTTTCTATAAGTCAACCACGCGGTTGCTTGTTGTTATAGGAGTATATTACCCTTTGCACAAGACACAAAATTTAGAGAGTGAAAACGGAGCTTTTTAATAACATTTAAAATTCAATCAGTTTTAATACCCAACGGCCGTTGCCACTATTATAATTGTTTTTCCATGGAAATCTCTTCTATGTCAACTTTACAATGCACTTTGGTTCTTGGTCCTAGAAAAACCCGCTGGCATTTTTTAAGGTTATTGTATGAAAGGTAAACGAAGTAGCAAGTTTAAAAGTTTTTCCTTACAGATCACCGACTGCACAAGATTTGTTTTATCGACATTTCGTGTTTTTCTTGTATTGCGTAATCGTCGCTACAGCAGGCTAACCTTAACGTAAGAGAAACACGAGTGATTATTCGATTCACACATATATGCCTCAAGTTATATTTATTGCTTTCCTAATAACTCAGTCTGTAATGTTAAAAACATTTATACACTATAGATTCAGTCTATTTTCAGTATTATACATGGAACTTGAAGCACACAAGTAATATCGTCCAGGTTTCTTAACAGAAATTTAATGGCCATCTTCGTTAGTATTATAGTAAGTACCGACTATGAGTGTAACTAGATTAATTTACTCGGCTCACATGTTATATTTAGCACGAGCAAGCTAAGCCGGCTTTGATTCATAAAAATTGCTAGCTGCTTTGATCTGAGCATATGAGAGCGATTTAAACGAACCTTCTATTTTTTGCTTACTATATTCGACTTCTTACCTCGGACCCTTCGTGACTGAAGCCTGATCCCAAAATAATCCAACCTGGGGATATTTTAGACTGCCCCCAAGACTCGTTTTATGTGATATGTGATAGTAGATAAAGCAACTGATGTGGCATATGTGGTTCTAAGAATTCAAAGGCTCAAACGCACATCCATAAACAAAGACGGTGTACGTAAGTCACTATTAATTTGCTGCGATTGTGTATGTGTATGTCGTATGTTTTAGATTACGTTTGTTGAAGCAAACGGTTACGTTATGGCCCGACTTAAGCAATGTTTAACATTTTCGTCATAGTACACAAAACTCTATGCTTATGTAGATAAACCGATGCCCCTGAATCTGTTTACAGACAGACGAAAGGTCTCCCGAATTTTCGCATCTGACAGCTCTGAACAGGTCCGGCTTCTTTCGCTCACGACACTATGCTTTACTGTTTTGTAAGTTCTCCGGTGTCTATCCGTTCGAAGGATTTGTTCCTCTTAGTTTTATCTTCACTGAGGTGGGTGCCTGTTCTTCACTCACTGTGTTTCCCTTCCTAGGTCGTTTCTTTTGGCGATGCCTGTCACGTTACTTTGGGGTTACCAAGTTGTTTTTAAATTTAGCTTGTGTTTTCCATAGATACTGTCAAAAGCAACAGTTGGACAAAAAGATCACATGAAGCTGGTGCACATCTTCTACGGAAATATCCTCAGAAAGAAACGACTGATGAACTTATGAGGTATATATTGTTTGATGAATTGATCCTGAATTTTTGAAGCATTTTTTTCGAATGCTATCGTAAGCGTTGTTTTTTTCTACAGATTGTAGCGCGATTATGGGGTAGCTGGTGCCTCGCGACGCTTTCAGCTCGGACCGGGTCAGAACACACCAATTCAGTCCTCTTATTGTCTCAATAAAGTTAGATTGTAGCCAGTAGTGGCGATCGACAGGAGCAGTAACTATAGGAGAAGCACAAGTGGCAACGTTAAACTCTGACGCAGCACAAATTTGTGCCCCTCAGTGCGACATCCGATGAATGATGTTGCATTATAGCTAACCCCGGAATGAACGTAGGCTAGTAGTCGTCGCATTGATCATCGCGATACGCTCTTCTACAGTCAAAATCGAGTAATCAAAGGCGGAACGATCATTGAAACAGCCAGTGGCCGCGGCCATGACACCCCTCAGTAGTGGCAGCAACGCCGGCCGACGGTGCCCCTCAACAGAAATTCGGCGTCCGTACAACCGTCTCTGACCTAGACGTGCTGGTTACTCACGCCACTTAAGTCCAGCCTTGGTATGCGTCGTTTATACAGGGACGATTTTGAACGAGTTCGCGGCGGTTCTCGGCTCAAGAAGCAGCAGTAATCTTAGCAGTAGAGGCACCGGCGGTCGGTATGACTGCAGCGGTGACAGCAGCAGCATCAGTCGTCGTATTGTAAGGAGATAGCAGTAGCAGTAGTAACCTGAGGTCATCACGCATTCGCTCGTCGGGAGCACGCAGCTAGCTGCCCGTACCCACATATCCCATAACTTCTCTGTTCATTTCGTCGCATTGTGTTGTTGCTTAATTTTGATCGACGTACATATAATCCTTTTTAAATGTGCGCGTATGGATCGAACAATTCGTATGATTACACATTTGAGGGGCCTTGAATGTGATTTCGGCCGAGTCAGCGAGAATCTAAAAGACAGGTTTGAGAAAATTCTTATCAGTGAATATATGTGCCCACGCACCGTTGCTTAGAGCATCTAGAATTGATAAATAATTAACGGATAAAACGATGAACAATACAAAAACCTGAGGGATACTGGTAGTCATCGTACATTTACACTCAGCAGGCATATTTTGCTGCTATTGTTGCTATTTCCCCTCTTCTCAAGTGTCGCTGCCACGACTCCGCAAGTTCACTTCTGGTCGCGATACGATTCAAGCTTCCGTCGTTTTTGTGGTTACTGACTATTCAAAGCATTCACTCCATTTCCACCTTTCACACCAGGCGTACCTATACTGTTCAATGGTTCTGCGTAAGCTGCCTTTTGCACCTCTGGCGAGGTGTTCTTTGTTCGCTTTTCGGTTCTCTACCTATGACTCTCCTTTTGAACTATTGAATAAGCAACAGTCCTCAGCTAGAGCAAACCGATGAAGCGTCAACCTGGACCTGCTTCCTGACTGCTTGGGCACCATTTCAGGAAAGTTCTTGTTTTTGTCATCTTAGCAAGCGCCCCCGCGAAAATCCACTTACTTTGCAGTGTTTGCTTTGATTTCTTTTTTTCCGTATTGAGCCGTATACAATTCCTCACCCAGTTTTGCTAACCAGCCGTTTCTCTCGTTTCCCCTTCGTCTTCTTTAGCTTCGTTATCCAAACTTGTCCAGGGGCTTACTTCGCTCACACTAGCGCGCGCCCAATTTCTTTTCATGCGACCCAAAACACTCAGACACGGCTTTAAGTATCGTAGCTTATAGCTATTATGTTGGCAACATATTCTCGTGTACTGGTAAACCTACCTATCATTTTGTGCCTCCGAAGGCAGAGATTGTTCGTGGCGACGTCGGAAACAGCAACGCTCCAGATACCTCTGCCTTTAAAATGCTTAACTGCCCTCCCTCCACGAAGCTTATGCGCAGCCTCTCGACAAAGATAGGGTCGGCGACGTTTGTTAGTCGAAACGAAAGGCAAGACTCAACCTCAGAGATAGTGAACTGCTACAGTTTGATTGTGCGACTATTGTTGATTACGGTAACGTCGGACGCTCGCTTCATCAAGTGGCTCTGTTTTATCTCCGTTGAGAGAAATGACTGCGAAAAAAAACTGCGTCCTAACGCAACATTT